GTAACTTCCTTAACTCCTGAAATGTTGTTGTGGGCAATGGTTTTGTAAAGATATCAATTACTTGCTCTTTACTTCCTATATGTTCGAGCTCCACGCTTCCTTCTTTCACCTTCTCCCTGATGAAATGAAAACGGACGTCAATGTGCTTACTCCGTTTGTGATTGATTGGATTCTTGGCTAACTCGATTGCCGACCTGTTATCTACTCGGATCATACTTTCTCAGCTTTCATAATCTCCAGTTGGCTTAGCAAGTTTCTAAGTCAAACTGCATGTTGGACACTCCAAGATGCTGCTACATACTCAGCTTCACACGTCGATAGAGCTACGATTGGTTGTTTCTTTGATAACCAAGTGAAAGTCATGTTTCCCATGAAGAATACATACACATATGTGCTTTTTCGATCATCCATATCTCCACATTAATCACTGTCAGAGTATCCAGTAAGTCGATAGTTGTCCAACTTAGTAAAACATAGTCCAAATGACATCGTCCCCTTCACATACCTTAGTATCCTCTTTAAATGCTTTCCAACGAGAATATCTTGGATCCTCCATAAAGCGGCTAAAATACTTAGCATTAGGCCAGACCTTGTACTTGTCAAGTACCTTAGACTTCTGATTAGGCTTCGGTACTTGCTTGCATCAACTCTTTCTCCTTCTCCATTTTTAGATAACTTCGTTCCAGGTTCCATGGGAGTAGAAATTGGATTGCATTTCATCATCTTTGCCTTGCTCAAAATCTCCTCAGCATACCTCTTTTAGGACACAAAAATACCTGTCGTTCTTTGGTCCACCTCTAAACCCATAAAGTACTTCATAATGCCCAGATTAGTCATCTCAAACTCCCTCTTCATCACTTCTTTAAAATCTTCAACTAGCTCAACTTTACTTCCCATAAATATTAGGTCATCTACATATAGAACAATAAACAACTTATCTCCTTTGCACTTCTTTAAATAGAGAGCATGTTCATACGGACATTGCTCATAACCATTCCTTTTGAAATAGGTGTCTATTCTCTCATTCCAAGCTCGAGGAGCCTGCTTCAACCATATAGTGCCTTCTTGAGCTTCAATACCTTCTTCTCTTCACCTCTTCTTATGTAGCCGAGAGGTTGCTCCACATATACCTTCTCCTCCATAATCCCATTCAAGAATGCAGACTTCACATCCATCTGTTGTATCTTCCATTCGTGTTGTGCTGCTAATGAAAATAGCAATCGAATTGTTTTCATCCTTGTTACCGGTGCAAAGACCTCATCATAGTCAATGCCTTTCTATTGTTTGTATCCCTTCACCACGAGTCGGGCTTTGTAACGCTCCACCTTCCCATTAGCATTGGTTTTCTTTTTATATATCCACTTCAAACCAATTGACCGAGCTCTTGCGGGTAGATCTGTTAACTCACATGTTTCATTTTTCTCAATTGAGTTGATCTCCTCATCCATTGCTTTCTTCCATCTCTTATCGAGTATGGCTTCTTCAAATTTGACATCTTCTGCACCTGTCAATAGACACACTACATGTACCTTATCAGTGGAGTTATAGACGTCCTGCAAACTTCGAGTTTTGAGTTGTACAGGTTCATTATCTTCCTTAGAATACTCATTCGTCCTTTCAGCTGTGGTTTCTGGGTTCCTCTCAATTATTATTGAGTTCTCTCTCTCAGAGACCGTGCTACCAGAAGACTTCTCCTTCGAGTCATCCTAGCTCCATTCACTCTCTTCATCTACCTGGACATCTCGACTCACCAAAACTTTAATTGTAGCCGGATTATAAAGTTTGTAGGCTTTTTCCTTTTCATCATACCCAATTAATATATACTTTTTCTTCTATCATCAAGTTTTGTTCTGAGCTGGGCTAGGATATGACCATAGGCCAAGCTTCCGAAGACTTTGAGATGGTTTACACTCGATTTTCGTCCACTCCATGCTTCTTGTGGTGTCACACCATCTCGCTTGGAATGCAGACACTTATTCTGTATATATACAACACATTGCACTGCCTTTGCCCAAAAATTCTTAGGCATGTTCTTTCATTTAAGCATGGTTCAAACCATATCAAGGATGGTTCGATTCTTCCTTTCAGCCACACCGTTCTGTTGTGGTGAATATGGAGCTGTGAGAAAACGTCTTATACCTTGTTCTTTACAATACTCCATGAACTTTGTTGATGTGAATTTTTCTCTTCTGTCAGAATGCACTGCTTTAATCTGTTTGTTGATCTCTTTCTCCACCATCAGTTTGAACTTCTTGAAAGCCTCAAATGCTTTTGATTTTTCCTGTAAGAAATACACTCAAGCTTTCCGAGAGAAGTCGTATATGAACAAAATAAAATATTTCTTACCACTAAATGAATTAAGAGAAATTGGTCCACAAAAGTCGGTGTGTATTAGGTTGATTTGCTCTTCTGTCCTGTACCTGGTCAAATTCGAAAAACTAGTCCTCGGGTGTTTTTCAAGCACACACTCTTCACAAAACTTCTTCTCAAACTCTACGCCATGTAGTCCAAGTTCCAGTTCCTTCCTTGATAGTTCGGCCAGACCTTCAAAATTTAAGTGCCCAAATCGAAAATGTCACATCATTGCTTCATGCTTCACGTCCAGCTTCAAACACCTTTTCTGCAGGATGTTCAACTCTAGTTTATACATTCGATTTTTCTTCATTTCTACCCGAGCTACTAAACGATCATGCTTGTCCTTCAAATAAAAGTATTTGATCCTTCATCAGAACCGAATTGCCTTTCTCTATCATCTGCCCCATGCTTAATATGTTGCTCTTAAGCTTAGGAACGTAATAAACATCCCTTATTTTTCCAACTCGTCCATCTTTTTGCATATGCTTGATGGTTCCATGCCCTTTTACAACCACCTTGGAATCATCCCCAAATGACACGAATCCAGCCTTCACCTTGGTGAGTTCGTTGAAGAAACTCTCTTCTCCACACATATGATTGCTCGCTCTAGTGTCCAAATACCAGACCAAATTGTTTAAGCAACTTGAATCAAGCTCAGACTCTAACTTGTCATTTGTCTTCTCCATGCAACTTAAATTTAGTTCAACCTCGGAGGCACAACTCGGACGTAGCTTGGTCTCCGAGCTCTGCGCCATCATAAAAATTCCTACTTCCTCACCCTCTTCTTCTATGAGAAGGTTCTTCTCTTTCTTTTCACCTCGACTTTTAGCTCAGCAATACTTTGCTATGTGACTGTATTTGCCACAGTTGTAGCAATTTGTCGATCTGCATTCCTTTGCGCAGTGGCTGTGCTTGCCTCACTTATAGCATTCCACCTCCAACCTTGGTTGACTTCCTTGGCTACAATTACCTCGTCCTTGTCCACCTTCATGATTACCTCGTCCTCCATGATTACCTCAGCCATGTCCAACTCGTCCTTGATTACCTCATCCTTGGCCTCTGGATCCTTGGCCCTGAGTGTTCTGAGTTCCATTCAAATCAAGTTGTGCTTGTAGTGCTTGAACAAGAGTATCCTCCTTCTCCCTCCTTTGTTCATGGGCCTCGAGTGACCCAACGAACTCTTCCACTGATAGAATTGACAAATCCTTTGACTCCTCAATTGCGCATGCAATACTCTCGAAATCATCTGTTAATGATCTTAAAATTTTCTCCACAATCCTTACTGGCATTGGTTCCCCATTCCTTCCGAGTTGGTTAGCCACCTTCTCCACCTGAGTTATATACTCGGATACTTGCTCTTTATCCTCCATCTTCAAACATTCAAACTCTCCTCGGAGAGTTTGAAGTTGGATCTGTCTGACACGGTGATTACCTTTGCGCAACCTCCAAAATTTCCCATGCTTCCTTTGAAGACGCAGGGTTTGCAATCTTCTCGAAACTTGATTCATCCACATCATTGTACAAAAAATAGATTGGCAATCTGTAAACACATATTGGCAATCTTGAAACTTGATTCATCGACAGCATTGTACAAAAAATAGATTAGCTTTGTCTTTTCCAATTTGGAAATCTGAACCACAGATTGGTCTTTGTCCTCCTCGAGTTCTCGGAACCCCTTCTCTGTAGGAACCCAACAGGGTCTTCATCTGTAAACACCAATTATCATAATTGGTTTTCTTTGACAGTTCCATTAACTACCTTCACCATTACTCTCTCCTATTTTTTTTTTAACACACAGGCACACATACTGTTTTCCTCTCACACTTGTTACTCAGAACATAAAACTCTGGTATCAATTTGTAAAATAAAAAAAAACGAGTAACATTAATATTGTGTGAACGTACACTGAAATGACTTTAAATAATCATGTACAATATATCATATTAACAAAAAGAAAATAACCTTTTAACAAATATGCGGAAAAAAATTTACGTATGTTATCTCAGCCACTTATCAAAACAAACTAACTAAATAACTATGTATTTATATTATAGAAACCATCTCATAATTTAAGATTATCTAACATATATGTCAATTTTAATGAACCAAATAGATTTCTTGTATTTTTGTTAACTTTATGTGTGTTTTTGTTATTTATTTTCGTCATATATTTTATTCGTGTTAAAAAATAAAAAAAAAAGAGTTGAAAGTTAAAGGAATATTAGCAATCTGGTTACTCCTAGTATGGCTGAGTGTTAACTTTGATCTTTCAAGTATAAAAATCCACAGAACAATGGACTAATGCATGATGTAAGACGTAGTAGGTCCCTCGGCTCAAATAATTCATGTAAGATGTAGGTCCCCTGGGTTTGTTTATTGACAAGATAGCCACCGAAGTTGACTAAATGCAGTTCTCAATTAAAGGAAATTTGACTGTCAGAACCCACGTTACTGTAATTGCTTGGCCATCCAATCCAATCCAACCTTGGATTGAAGTAAAGGCATCGCTCGTTCCCTTTTGTTCATGTTGTTAACTCTCCTATACTGCATTCGCGCTCACCCATTTCCTTAGTCTCATAATTAAGCTGCACTTCCAAATATCAGAATACCAAATTCTCTTTGATTCCACTACTTTATTTCCAACCATGCCAGTCATCGAAACACTTGGCGGTGCTCTTTTCGGTGCTGTCCTTCAGGTTCTATTTGACAGGGTGGATTCCCGTCAAATTCTGGACTACTTTCTTGGAAGAAAGCTGGATGAGAAGCTGCTGAGAAAGTTGAGGTGGAAGCTGGTGTCCATCAATGCTGTGGTTGATGATGCAGAACAAAAGCAGTTCAGAAATGCATATGTGAGAGCATGGGTTCATGAGGTCAGAGACGTGTTGCTTGACACTGAGGATCTGCTTGATGAAATACACTATGAATTCTCCAGATGTGAGTTGGAAGCTGAATCCCATCAGAGCAATTCTAACAAGGTATGCAAATTTGAATCGAGGATTTGGGAAGTCCTTGATGACCTAGAATCTCTTAAAAACCAAAAGGATGGTCTAGGTTTGAGAAATTCCAGTGGGGTTGGGACAGGGTTGGGTAGTAAAGTGTCACATAAATTGGAATCAACATCTTTGGTGGTTGAAAATGTTATTTATGGAAGAGATGATGAAAAAGAAAAGATCCTCAAATGGATGAATTCTGACACTGACAAGCAGAGCCAACTATCAATATTTTCTGTTGTGGGCATGGGTGGGCTGGGTAAGACCACACTTGCCCAACATGTATACAATGACTCGGGAATCGAGGAGGGAAATTTTGCCATCAGAGCTTGGGTTTGTGTTTCAGATGAATTTGATGTTTTAACGGTAACAAAACAAATGATTGGGGCAATCACCAAATCAAAAGATGATGGTGGAGACCTAGAAATGGTTCAAGGAAGATTGAAAGAAAAACTGATTGGGAGGAAGTTTCTTGTCGTTCTGGATGATGTCTGGAACGAAGACCGAGAGAAATGGAAAGCTTTGCAAACTCCTCTCAATTATGGGGCAAAGGGAAGTAAAATTATTGTCACGACACGGAGTAACAAAGTTGCTTGGATCGTGCAATCGAATGAAGTACATGAACTGACGCAATTAGGTGGAGATCACAGCTGGCAAGTTTTTGCTAAACATGCATTCCAAGATGACAATCCGCAGATGAATGCTGAGTTGAAGGAGATTGGAACAAAGATAGTTGAGAAGTGCAAAGGATTGCCTCTAGCCTTGGAAACAGTTGGATCTCTTTTGCGCTCGAAGTCATCTGTTTCAGAATGGAAAAGTGTATTGAGAAGCGAGATATGGGAGTTCCCTGAAGAAGATAGTAAAATCATCCCTGCTTTATTGTTGAGCTATTACCATCTTCCTTCTCATCTCAAGAGATGTTTCTCTTACTGTGCCGTATTTCCTAAAGATCATGAGTTTGTCAAGGAGAATTTAATTCACTTATGGATGGCCGAAAATTTTCTACAATGCTCTCAACAGAGTAAGTCTCAAGAAGAAGTTGGTCAACAGTACTTCAATGATCTATTATCAAGGTCCTTCTTTCGACAATCCAGTAGCCTCAAATCATGTTTTGTCATGCATGACCTTCTTAATGATTTGGCCAAATATGTTTCTGGTGACATCTGTTTCAGATTGGGAGTTGATAGAGAAGAGAGTATAACGAAGGCAACACGCCACTTGTCATGTGTGATTGATGGTGATCAATATTATCGTTGGTATGAGTGTTTATATAATCTAAAGAGGCTACGAACATTTTTTCCCGTACATATTGAACCGTATATGGCTCTATATTGGAACGGTGAGACTTCAATGCATGAGTTGATATTTAAGTTGAAGTTCTTACGCATTTTATCTTTTAATGCTTGTCGTACCCTTGAAGAGGTACCGGACACTATAGGTGATCTTATACATCTCCGGTATTTAGACCTTTCATGGACTTACATTAAAAAACTGCCGGACTCAACATGTTCACTGTGCAACTTACAAACTTTGAAACTGAACGGTTGTTGCCATTTGAAGGAGCTGCCCTCGGATCTGCATAAACTCACCAATTTGCGCCGCCTTGAACTTATTGAAAATAGTGTGACAAAGGTGCCAATGCATATGGGAGAATTAAAGAATCTTCAAATATTGATGACTCCATTCAATGTTGGGAAAAGTAGCGAGTTACGTATCCAACAGCTAGGAGAACTCAGTCTCCATGGGGATCTACTAATTGAGAATCTGCAAAATACTGTAAATCCCTCGGATGCTTTGGCAGGAGATTTGAAGAATAAAACAAATCTGATTCGGCTAGATTTACGATGGGATTCGATAAGGAACCTTGACAATTCAATTGAAGAAAGAGAAGTACTTGAGAATCTGCAACCTTCCAGATATTTGAAGCATTTGTCAATCAGTGAGTATGGTGGGACACAATTTCCAAGTTGGTTATCTGATAATTCATTATCGAATGTTGTGTCCTTAAGCTTGAATAACTGTAGACATTGCCTATGGTTGCCTTCCCTTGGACTTTTGACATTTCTTAAGCACCTGAAAGTTGAGGGGCTTGATTGGATCGCGAGGATTGATGCTGATTTTTATGGGAATAGCTCTTCTTCATTTGCATCCTTGAAAAGTTTGAAATTCTCTGATATGAAGGAATGGGAAGAATGGCAATGCATGACTGGTGCTTTTCCAAATCTTCGAAGTCTTTCTTTGGAGAATTGTCCCAAGCTGAAAGGGCACTTGCCAGACCAACTTTGTCATTTAAAGTACCTACTTATTAAGGACTGCAAAGAACTTGTGACTCTTGCTCCGAGCACCCCTGAAATTTTTGAATTAGAGCTACGATGTTGTGGAAAGCTGCAAATTGATCATCATCATCTAACTACTTTGCAAAGGCTCGTGATTGAGGGTGATAACATGGAGGCGTCGCTGCTTGAAAGGCTTGGGCATATCATATCTCATACTCCGCTTGAATCCGTGAGTATTTATTCTTCGCCGAACATGAATCTTCCCCAAAACCATTGCTACGACTTTATTTTAAAATTGAATATCAAGGGTGGTTGTGACTCTCTGACGAACTTCGATCTAGATCTCTTTCCAAAACTCTGCCATCTTATTCTACGTGGGTGTCGTAACCTGCAGAAGATATCACAGGGGCACCCTCATAATCATATGAAGAATCTGACCATTAAAATGTGCTCTCAATTTGAATCATTTCCCAGTGAAGGGTTGTCTGCACCGCAGTTAGAGAGCATTGATATTACAAAATTGGAGAATTTGAAATCATTGCCAGAAAACATGCCGGAACTCCTTCCATCTCTTACTGATATGTGCCTAATCGATTGTCCAGGAGTGGAGTTCTCTGATGGATGTTTGCCATCAAATCTAAAATCCATGGATCTCTCAAATTGCTCCAAACTTGTTGCCTCACTGAAAGGGGCTTTGGGAGACAACCCCTACCTAGAAAGCTTGTTTATTTCAGAAGTGGATGTGGAGTGTTTTCCGGGTGAAGGTTTGCTCCCACTCTCTCTTACTACTCTAGAGATCTCTGGATGTCCAAATCTTAAAAAGCTGGACTACAATGGTCTCTCTAAGCTCTCCTCTCTTGAGGAGTTGTTTCTTCATAAGTGTCCTATACTCCAATGCTTGCCAGAGGAGGGTCTGCCCAAATCCATTTCAACTCTCCATATTACAGACTGCCCGTTGCTCAAACAGCGGTGCAAGAAACAAGGCGAAGACTGGGAAAAGATTGCTCACATTAAAGACATAGTTGTCGATGGCGAACGAGTAAAGATATAGGACGAAGCCGAAGTTGCAAAGTAAACTATTAATGAACCGATTCTGATATATGTCTGAATTTTGATCAGGTGCCAATTCTCCACACTATCTTTCAAGCATCTCAATAAAATCTTCTTCACTGCAAATATTTCACTCCCTAGTTTACCACTTTCTTCACGCGTCACCTTTTTCTTTTCTTTTGACTCTTTTTATCCAATGGTACTTATTATTTCTTCAAATGCTTTCTAAATCCCAGAACACTATCTTGTGACAGAAATTGCGGAAGAAACTCTTTAACTGAAAAGTCGTTTGGGGATGCTTGCGCATGATTTACAAATTACGCCCTGATATATAAATATTCATCCAGAACGTTGCTTTTTTGACATCTTGGTTCTTACAACAAAGTGATTACCAGTTACTAACATCATTGCTTTATTCACTACAAACAAATATCAAGCTTTTCTTGTGCATTTAATCACATTAGGTGGCTACAATTAATTTTATCAATAAGTAAATCCATGGAAGCTATTATCTCAAGTTCTTTTTTATTTTTTTAACAAGTTTTATTTCATGATTCTTAACAAATCTCAGATTACATTTTAATATACATTGTTGGCACTTTCCAGAGATAATATTTCTATGGGAAACAATTCCGATTACATCTGCAAACACCAACACTGCTGCTTACGGTATCTACATTCTGTATATGCTCAGCTCAAAATATCAAACAGATGAATCCATATGTAGATTCTGATCGAGTTGTTGTAGGAAACCGTCAAGGTTTTCAAATTAAAGAAAGCACTGGCTACTTGCCACTTTCATTTTTACATACAAAAAACTTGCATTAAGACCTGGCAAGTTCTACTGATGTATAGAAACTTGCATTAAGACCAAGCAAGTTCTCACCACATTAATAGTAAATGTAAAATGAGTTTGCTTCAGCGTATTTTTATATTTGCAAGGCCCATTGTTCTACTTCACAATTGTCTACTACCTTGACCTTTTCTTATACGTTTTCACAATTTAAATGGATTACTGATTGTTCAGAAGTCAAACTTTCTCTACCTTTCAATAATTGAAAAAATAAATGGCATGTGATAGTAGGATGTGTGATCTGTCCACATATATCTTAAATTCTAGCTTACCGACAGATATATAACATGCCTAGTATTGGTTAATCCACACTCCCAATACACATTTCATTGTTGTTTGGTATCTCATTAAAGTGAAAGTAATGATCATACGTTTATGTGAATGCTCTTTTCAGCTTAAGCATGAATGATAGATAGGCCAAACTTATCTTATACTGAAATTTAATTTATATTAGGAAGAATGTGCGAATCAGACAGCTAAGATTGAAGTCTTGAATACTTAGTAAAGGAATTTTTAGGAATTGGGATACAACAGTGACTCAAATTGAAATCTGAAAAGAACTACCAATTCATTCATTTGCTGAACTGTTGAAAACTCTCCCTCGTTCTCAAAGAAATTCATATCTAGACATGTCTTCAGAATGAAGTCATCTTGAATTTTTACGTTTGTTTACATTTGTGTAAAATCCATCACATTCTGAAATAGAAATAAAAAGTATAATCTTCTAAAATCATAGAGAACAACCATATGGAACAAGTCTGATGCATGTAAAATATAAGTAACAATTGTTAGATAAATTTTAATTGATGCATAATGGAACTTGCTGTGTGATGCATATTTTTACATTGCCATTCAATCGCAAATCTCCATGTATGCCAAGTTTGTTGACGTTTACCATAATCTTAAAAGGCATTTGGTAATTTCTAATTGGAACAATAGTATGAAACGACCTCATGCTGTGTCACTGCAAAACCATTAAACTCCTTTGTACACAATTTCAACAGATTAATAATCACCCTAGATTTTATTTTTAAAATAATTCTTACAAAATTAATCTTTTCGTGCATAAGAATTTATGATTAAAAAGCGGAAAAGATTTGTTGTAATGAAACTATGGAAGTGGAAAAGAAAATGAATTAAAATAGCAAAAATGAAAAAAAGGGGCATATAAGGAAAAGAAGCACATCAGAATATAAGAAAAGAGCCAAAAGACAAAACTGAAAGCCAAAACTTCTGAGAAGCTCTGAAATTAAAAAAAAAAAAAAATTCGAAGACAAAACAGTGACAGAAAATAAAGAATGTGACTCAATACGTGTTCGTCTTCGTTATCTGATTCTCATGGTTCTGTTTCTTCCTCTGCGCGGATTTTTGGGTTTTTCAGTGGCGGTAGGGTTTGGAGATTTCAGAGAAAACAAAGGACATACGAACTGGGGAAATTTAGAAAACTTCTTCGTAAGTATTCCTTTTTTACATGAAACTTTAGAAATTTAAAATAAATAATATCACTTTATCTAAATATATATATATATATATATATATATATATATATATATATATATATATAATATTGTTGAGGTAAAAGTTGTCTTCATTTAAAAATGACAGAGATGAGATAATAAAAGTTAAAAAAAAAAACTACAAAATATATATTTATAAATTTATTAATCACATAATCTCACAAAAAGTGAACAGCTAACGGAGACTGATGAAATTTATCACTTTCGAGGGCAAGAAATTATTGTCTTTAATGTCGTCAAATTGCACATTCAAGTACCTAATTAGTTATTTTTCATAAAAAATAATTTCATCCTCTCCTCTGCATTCAATATCTTACCGATGGAGGCCAACAGGCCAAAAAAAATATAATTTTGGGAATAACACATTTTCCCCACAAAGTAAAGCAACGCAATTGAGGCAGCATATAATACAAAACAAAATAGTATATATAGAGCATTCAGCAACCCAAAAATAAATAGCCGCACCACCATCTCAGCTTGTTCTAGCCAACTCAGTATTAGATTAAAAATGGTTCAAGAAAAACTATCAATTTCCTGAATACAACCTTGAAGAAATTAACAGGTTTTCCCCCTTTTTTTTCCGTTGTTCCTATCTCGCTTTGTGGTGTGACAGACAAGAGCAATATCGATGAGATATGCTTGTCTGCAAAAGCTGATATCCTCTGTTGACACATGCCGTGAAAAAGTCAGGCAAGCAACTAAAGAACTCATCCCATGAGCTCCTTTATCTACTACAATCTTCAAGAAATTGGATGCCGCCTCCTGCAAATTTTCCAAGCCATAATAAGTCTTATGGTAGACATGTTTACAGAGATTTGCAGACAGTATTATACATTAGGCAATTATATCTGGTGAGTCTGATATCTATATTGCAGCCTTAATGGCCATATCTTGTGTTCTAAACTTGGCTTTTGCTTTAATAATATTCTTATAGCTTATTCAAAAAACAAAACTGACAACTCAATCATAATCCAGATTGAACTAGATGCCTACTGAAGACAATCTACATTTATAATGCCACATCTAATCTATATTCCCATTGATAATATGATTACACTTCAACATATACAGTATGCGGACACATTTAAGGCATTTCAATGCATACAGTATCCAAGTCAAACTTGTAGTTCAAGAACAATTATGGTCAACTTAGAAAATCCATTTTGTTTAAGGCATCTGATCAAAGACTTGACTGTTAAAACTTTTTTTTTTTCAAATTACCTCTTTGGTCGGCTTCGATCTTCTTCATAATCCATCACTCCACCAGATTCAGAGCAGATCTCCTCATGGCCTCTGAAGTCGACGTCGGCCTGCTTACAGTGTGTAACTTCTGCCACGAAGTAAGTAAGACACGTCGACCAATATATTCCAACCATAAAGAACAGCAGGCAACTATGTATGTGTATATATATTTAAGGCAGATACTTCTATATTATCTAATGCAACTCCAAATCCAACCATAAGATGAATGCAGCACACACCATGTATATATGGCTAAAAACATAAAATATTTGATGAAAATATTAATGGATAAGCAGTTACAGAATATTAGAAATACAATTATAGACAAGATCAAATTAGTAGGGTCCCATTATAAGTAATTTAAGCATGTGTGAAGAAACCATAGAAGCACAAATATATAGAGGGTAGACCAGATGAGGAGCTGAAAGATAGTCAAAATAGAGATAAAGGAAAGATGAAAATCATCATAAAAACCAAAGATTTAGAGGTGAATGATCTACATTAGAATTTATGACAAGAAACTTTGGTGTTGTGTGTGATCCATAGCTAACCCCAACCAACATTGTTGCTTGATTATTAAAGAATAAGGAGTTCTGTTTGTGCAACACAATAGCCCTCAAAGTTTAAGTCATTAATAGAGAGAAAAGGGAATTATTTTATCGACTATATTTTTTGTTTTCCTCTATCATAATAACCTCCAGTTGAGTAGGGCTGGCAATTTAGCAAATAGTGTAGGGAATGAAATTCCAGCTAGCAATAATCAAACACCAATCCAAAACTTATATATATACACAAAATAGAAATGAAATTTTCAACACATTCAGTACAAGAATGGAATTATATGCAAGCAATTTTTTATCAGACATTTTCTCATCGATAAAAAATGTTAAAAATCCATAAAAATAAATCCAACCCACCTTGAAAATGGACTTCTTTACTTCTTCCACCTTCTCTTCCACATCCTTCCTGTGCTTCTTGTCAATTTCACTCATAGCATCAGCCCATTTTATCTTCTCTTGGATTGAAACAAGCAGACTTTCTGATGTAGACAACCTATGTTTCCGATTCATAATTAATTTTATTATTTCAAAGGTAAACACCATACATACATCCCAAAAATTAGCACTGTATACAAAATACCAAATTGAGACATTCTGCATTAAAGAAACAGAATTGTTGAACACAAATTTAAGTATCAAAAACTACATATAAAATACAAATTTGTGACAAGTAGACAATATGAACTCTAAACCAAATTCAACTAAGATTGGATAATAAGTAGACTTGGATATTTTCTGAAGTGGTCATAGTCCAAAAATTCAAAGTTTTAAGCATTGAAGCAAGTTCCATTGATATTTCCAGTAATCCAGCATCACAAGCAACTTTACTATCAAACATGGATATTTGAAATTTCACATATTTTTTCTAGGCATTGGTAATTGATTTACTAAATAACATACATGTGATTACAAAATTATTCAGGCCCCTACTTGAAAAAGAGAGATTACCAGTTAGAGAGAGTCTGGATCATATTCCCCAGATGATCAGGCCTCAAGTCCCTACCTGCTGCAAATTGGACCTAAAATCACACTCAAATATCAGGTATACTTCTACTACTCGTTAAATGGAAAAATGGAAATGGATCAAAATACAATTAAATAAAATAACAGATGATGAAGAGCTAGGACCTCAAAGCATCGCCGCAACTGATCCAGCTTTCCTCGGACTATTCCCTGGTGAGAGCAAAAAATTAGAAAACATGTCTGTCATTCATCAAATATTGTTTCCAGGTTACCAATTAATTAATTTGACTATCCAACATCTTCTGGAAAAAGACAAGATAAAAATTATTTAAAAAGATAATAGCAAAAGGTTGGAAAACAAAAAATAAGATAGAAGCCAAGATCTCTAAATTAACAAAAATATATCTCTGACAATTTATTATTTACAAGACATTTTATCAATACCACAAACGAAGATTAAAAAACTGAGTGAAAATCGTGAAAGAACAAATGAAGAAAATCAAATATGTCAATATCTACAAGAATGAAGTATTACATAGGGATCAATCACATAACAATTACAGTATTGCTTCCAGATCCCTTTCAGTGTAAATGAATGATTACATGTTTACCAAATGCATGGTGTTACTCTGTTACAGATGTACTTTGGAAGTGCACATTTAGATTCTTTTGTATACTCTTGTTAGCTATCAGAACCAGTTTCAATTACTGCTTTTTGTATCAGTCACAAACAAACTTAACTAGCTGTATAAAAACTAGAGCACAACCCATATTTCTGTAAGAAAATCAGATACAGATATCAGAAACTGTTTTATGCACCACACCCCAAAAATATTAACTATTTAAAGCTATTCATTGGATGATAATACTGAATAAGACAATAAAAAAACTAGCTGCCTCATATACAATGACCTTAGAAGGCAGAATCCCCAAACATTTATTGTGAACAACAACTGAACATTTCCTATTGCAAATTTATGTCATAGGATTTCCCATGGCTTTTGTTGTCTTATAAGCTCAAATAGAGAGATCAATAAGTGATGTATTTTCACTCTGGTTTCCATTAGAATGATCAAATCTCATTGCTCGTCTCTTCCTACTCTTCTAATGAGTTCTTTCTTGCAATAAAAATAATCATAATAGTTAGGATGGTGGTGTAGATATATATTTCTGAGAAGTAAAGTATTAAACAGTTTCTGGAAAGGAGTGATGCCTACCGCATACATGCATTCATTAATTAGAAAATCTTCAAGTTCACGAACATTTGTCACATCTAAATCCTGCATCAATTGGTCATAAGGTAGTACCTAAAAAACAAATAATTTTGTAAAAAATTGATTCCAATAGAGCAAAATGAACATAGAAAGTTTTGGGTGTTAATCAACCAGTTATGTTCTATGTAAGTATAATACTCTATTTAAAATAATGAATTGGATGAAACTATCCTCCACATAAAATTGAAGGAATTAAACCTTTAAACAACAGAGGGCAAAACATCATATAGAGACCACAAACAATTATAATCGCATAATACATCTAGGGGCAAAGAATTGCAAAAATGTATCAAAGCACATACAGAGTACCCAAACAACTGACCAAGAAAGGGGCTGCTAGTAGTTAAACAAGATAGAATATATGAATTCCAGTATGATGGAACCAAAAGAAAATTGTTAAGTACCACAATGATTACTGAGCAAAAAACAGGCTGCTGTTAAACAGCAAATACAATACTTAAATTAAAATGAATCAGACACAACCCACAATCAACAAGTCAAGCAAAAAACAGCACGATAAGATAGCCAATAACTTAGTATTATTAACAGAAAATACCTTGTATGTCTCAGCCAGTGTAAGAACTGTAAGTTGCTTAAGCTTGAGCATCTGATCAGGTATTAATTGTGGTAAACGGTCAGCATTACCTGCAAGTCACTTAAACTTTTAATAAGGACCATCATTTTACTTCAATTTACATACACATACTTGCAGCGCAAAGGTAGCAAATCATGAAATTAGGAAATATTTACAAACTTCCCTAATGATACTATTTACAGTAGCAACCAACATGAAGTGAATACATGAAAAGCTTCATATATCACAATATGCACTTAGTGGATTTCAAAATTAGTATGATATAATTGTTATCAATCATATACTGTAAAATATGCAACTAAGCAGACTTCCGTAACTTATAAGTCCACATGTACATAAATTAATGACAATAACAATGAGAGCTTCAAGGATGTCAAGGTGTAAAAAAAAAACAGTAAGAGGACATAATTCAGACACATCAGTTTTATGCGATCTCCAAAATAGTAATTGGCGGCCTCGTTAGTCCACAATGTCAAGAATCATAATCTATGATGTACAGAAACGATATGAGTATTGGATATGAGTATTTGAAACGACTTGTATATAATACTGCGATTCGTTTTATATTAAAAAATATAATATACGATACATTTAAGATAAGATACGTGTGTGTGTGTGTATATATATATATATATATATATATATATATATATATATATAAAATTCATATAAAAATTATTATATATAATTATTAAATATTATTTAAATTGAACATATTAAATATATTTTTAAATGTATATATGACTTTAAAAAAAAAGTTAAATGTAAAATAAAAGTTAACAATATCTACTCATTGTTTAGAAATAGAAATAGGATCAACAGTAAATAAAACAGCTTCTATAAACAGCTTCTATGTCTGATTCATCAAGAGATAATATTGTCCCTCTAAATAATAACAACTTCTATGTTTGTTTTGATTAATTTAACAAGAATAATAACAGAAAAATATTTGTTATTCTGTTTTTTTTGTTTGGATTTTTTTTTTCGATTCTTTTTCGATTCCGATATGAATTTTTTAAGTATAAAGGTGAATCGGTATCGGATAGAATACGTTGGGCTTGCCAACGTATCGGTGCATCAGAGATAACAATGAAACAGCAACCACAACCACAATTTAAAACCTTAAGGCATCAGATTTAGCTTCTCTAGAGTGAAAGGGGCGTACTTTAAAAGGAAATGAAGAGTTATAATTAGTCTGCTAGCTTAATTACTTATTAAATCATTATTTAAGTACATCCTCTTCGATCTTACCATTCCTATTAAGATTACAACTTTCATAAAAGAAAAAAAAAAGATAGGCTAATCAATAGGCTTACTCTTGTAATCGCTCCATGTTCCATGCGCAAACAAACGAAGCATATCGAGGTAAGCAGAATTCTCAGTTGCTTCAAGCTGCAAGAAATCACAAGCAAAAAAACAATTGCAGCAGACATACTGGAATTAGTTCACAAAAATAAATTAGCAAAAACATAATTCCCATGTTAGATAGAAGAACCTTTAATATTCCATCAAAAAATCATTTCACAGCCGAATGCGCCTCAAAAAAGAAGAAAAAAAAAACATATTTACCATATATAACTAAAAGAAATGCCATGCACAAACATTATCGTTTTGACAGTACCCTAAAACTCCAAAGGATTCATTTCGCAGCCAAGAAACAAAATAAGGCATTTGAAACATATATAATTAAAAAAAATCCACCACGAACATGATAATTTCACAGCACGCAGAATAATCACATCAAAACAAACAACATAAAATGATTAAAAAAAAACGATAATCATGAAAACCATTACTTTTCCGTTTTCCTGTACAATAAACAACCACTTAAGATGTACACAAAATCAATTCGTAAATAAAGTATTTAAAGAAAAAAACCAACAACAAAATTGGGAAAAAAACGAGAAGAAACACCGAGAGTGTGAGACAAGAGGAACCTGAAGAAGATTGGGGAGAGCGAGAATCTCGGAAAAAGCGAAGAGCGAAGGGTGAGAAGTGGCTTCGACGAGGACAGAGGCGAGTGCGGCTGCGTCGGAGGCCGCAGAGGCTCGCTGGATGAAGTGATCGATGAGCTCTGACTGCCTCTGCTCGATGTCCATCTTCGAGAGCGAGGAACGAGCTAGGGTTTTTTCGAAGGGGAAAAACGGTTCAATTGAGGGAAAAAAGTTGAGGGTTTCGGAATTAGGGTTTCGGACTATAATTTTTTTGTAATTTAGAGAGTTTTTCGGAAGGTGAGAGTGTTTTTCCTCAAACTGATGGAAGAACGAATGTGTCTCCGAAGAGAAACGAAGCAACTATTTTTCTGTGACAGTGCGGGGGCTTATATAACAGGTGAAAATTAAATTAATGAAATTAATATCATTAATTTGGATTATATTGAATTATTTTGTTGTTGTTGTTGAAGTTAAATAAATAAATAAATGGGAAATAATTTATTTAATACTATTATATTTGGATGAGATTGAATTATTTTTTATTAATAAAGTTAAATAATAAATAATTGAAAAAATAAGGGAGATGTGGATAAAATTTCTCCTATATTTGAGTTTTTTTTTCAATTTTTTTATTGAAAATTATTGAAAACAGTTATGGCATTGTCAAACTAGTTTTGATTTTTGTAAAGGGATATTTATCTTTAGTCTTAAATTAAAATTGAACATAATATAAATATTGTACTTATAATAATAATAATTTATATTTTAATTTGTACACTACAAGAATGAAATTTAATATATAACTTATATGGACATAATAAATTATTTAAAAGATAAAATAATTCTTACATTTTAAACATAGATGTAATATAATGTTGATTTTTTTTACAAATAATAAACCACTTAAAAAAATTGGAAGATTTAAATTTAATTACATTTTTATTTTTTTTTATTTAATGATATCATTTTAAACATACATTTTAAGTAGTTGGGATTTTTTTTCAATAACTTTATTTTACTATCGATCACATTTCAAGGTACAACACTTTCGAAAAAATATATATGAAAATGTCATTAGTAGAAATAAATATTATTAAATATTTTTCTTAATTAACTTAAATTTTACATTTAGAATTGGATCTACATATTAAGATATAAATTTAATTATTAAATCTTAATCAATTTAAACCATTAATAAACCTTCGTAAGTTTGTTGTGTTTTCGTGAAACTTGATTGAATGATCCATGAAACTTATGCATCATTGAAAAGGTTGAGACATTATACCATTAAAGAAAATAATTTTATTATTCAAGTTTTAATAAACAATTCAATTTAATTTAAAATTTATCACTTTAAATAAATATTTTATGAAAATCAAAACGTGAGTTTTTTTATAGAGAATAAAATACAAAATCGACAAATATACTATAACTAAAAGCTTATTAAAAAAAAGTATGTGTTAAATATACTCAATCTGAATACTTTTAATAGACATAAATAAATGACAATACAATAATGAAAATCTTACTAGGTATAAAAAGAGAATTTTTATATTGAGGATAAACACAGAATCTAGAAATTTATTAGTAATCAAATTTTTTTAATAACATTAATTATAATACTTTGTTTGATAAATAGGTTTAATACAAATAAATGAAAAATAACTATTAAATTAATTTTTTTTTTATTTTCGGGTAAATTATTCTTTTTGTTTTTTACTTTGTTTCGAATGACATTGAGGAAAAACCATAATAAAAATTGAAAATGATTTTAATAATTTTAAAAACTATAAACGGATAAATACGTTGAATATCATTTATATATATATATATATATATATATATATATATATATATATGTATGTATGTATATATATATATATATATATATATATATATATATATTTATTTTTATTTTTATGAGTTTTTCGAAACTAAAAACTAAAGTTTGATTTCAAAATACCAAGTCATAAATTCTATCCAATTTAGCTGACCTATTCTGTTGTTCTCGTTATTCAGGCATAACCTAACCTGAGAATCGCGTTTGTCGAAGGACGACGATGACGGATACAGTGGCCGATTCACGCAACAATGCGGCGGTGCAAGCCACCAACGATGATGCTTCGGCCAGTAAATTGTAAGTGCACCCTAAAATTAATAATTAAACCTTCATGGCTTTTTCGTGCATTGCATTTGGGATCATGTTGTGGCTAAAATCAGCTATGATGAAGCTTACGCATTATTTGTTAGCCTTTTAGGTTATTTTTTAAAGATTTTTTTTAATATATTATTCTCTGGGATTTGCTCATTCTGCTCCATTGCTGGGACTAAGGAATAACATTCATGATTTGTTGTTGGTATGTATTTTTTTTTTTATTTTTTCAGCACCTTTTTTCTTCCCCCATTTCACTGGATTAGGAATTGGGTCCTTTTGGTTAAAGTTCTCCATAAACAATACTCATGCATTAGACGTACAAATAAGAGGTTAGAGTCTTAAAATATATTTTTAAAAAAACATGATAGAAAAAAATTTAAAAATATGTTCTATGGGTTCTAAAATTGAAAAATGGGTCTATCCAGAACTATATTTTCACCAATTCAATAGTATGTAGTTCATGTAAAACAATCTAGCTTTAAATGGACATTGATCCATAATAACAATATGATTAGATCTATCCATCCGTTCTGTGAAAATTGGATATACTCCTGTCCCACATCACAAACCTTATCACAATCCATGTAATGTTAATTCTCACTCATTTTCGGTCATAAATTTTCATCTTGTATTCAGTTTTCATCTGAGCTCAAATGAATTATTGCTGTTTTTATTCTTATATGATGAATATTTCTCTCAATAAACTGGCTGTAGGTCATGTGTAAAAAAGGGATACATGAAAGATGATTATGTTCATTTGTTTGTGAGAAGGCCTGTGAGGAGATCACCAATTATTAATCGTGGTAGGAATTAGCTTCTTTTAAGTAATTTACTTTTGTAAGTACCCACCTTCAAATTATTAGTTTGTTAATGCATTTAATTTGTTTGAGGATGAAGGTTACTTTGCTCGTTGGGCTGCTATTCGGAAACTTCTCTATCAGTTTCTTGATGTTGAGAAGAAGATAGATGGAGATGCCCCAATAAAGAAGCAGATATTATCACTTGGAGCAGGCTTTGACACAACATATTTTCAGTTACAGGTGCCTGACTTTCCTTGTGAGATGTACTGTACGTGTTGTTTGTTAATCTGTTTCAGCCTTTTAAACTATAGGTTAGCTATCCTTTTGGAGCCTTGCGGGTTAAGTGATGGTTTGGATTGAACTAATATTGATCCAATGCTTTTCCATTTAAATATTGGCCATTTCTTTTTGTGTGTGTTTTTAAAAGACGTGAGGGCACTTTTGATTTCATTCTTGTTGGTGTTCTTGTGCTAACTTGCTAGCTTTTAAGGGTGGGTTCCCCAAGTGCTTATAGTAACTACCTTCTGCTTTTGCAATCTCTATCTTTAAGACTGAATCTTGTACACTAGTTAAACAAGACATGGACATTGTGATCATGAGTTATTTTTAAACTTGAGTTCTCGTGCCACTGATTTGTTCTAGCTAAATATTTCATTTCTTTCTTTTTGTGTGGAATGTAGTTTCCTTTCAGAACTGTGTAGGTTAGTTATACCAGTGTGTTTAGAGAAAAAAAAATGATGATGAATGAGGAAAAGTATGAATATGGATGAACAAGTATTTAGATAACTAATTACCTGTAATAAATTTTAAGATCTTTGGACTTGTCTTTTCTTATAATTTTAATTTGAATTACGGAGTGGTGGAATATTCTAATACAAGAATATGCAAGGGTCTATAGTCCATGTCCGTCTCTTCCTTCTGTTTTTTTTCTTGCTCTGTTTTTTCAAGTTTTGTTCTGATGGCTGCAAAACAGTTTGGACGGGGTTGCCGAAGTGCTGCATATATTGTAAAATGATCACATCCTTCACCTAGTTTTTGGTGTATATTTATTTCAATCATGATATAGTAATATCTGTGCAAAATATACTAAAATATACTTTACGTGTTCCTAATGTAATCTGTTGTATTAGTATTGTAAAGCTTCTAGATTATAGAGTTATTGTTGCCTGGTAGTGAAGAAGAATGTTTTCTTCTTTCACCCATGCACATCCAAGATGCAAAAATTTATTTGTATGCAGCTTCATTGGACCCTTAAACTTCATTCGATAAGCTGTTTTATAGTAGCCTCCATGTGACTCTGTAAAAAATTAAATGTTATACTTTGTTACTGTTAAAGTCCCACATCACCTACCTCATGTCATTTGATATGATTTAAATATATGTTAGGCTACTCCACATATTGCCAATTGATTTTATGCTGGAATCTTAACATGGTATCAGAGCCAAAGCCTAACATCTTTCCGGTTATTGTCATGGGCCAAAAGTTGCCCTTTAATTGGGTCAAAAGTACCCTTTGCCTGATCCGGCAGACTTTGTTGGAGGGGGCGTGTTAAAGTCCCACATCGCCTACCTCATGTCATTTGATATGGTTTAAATACATGTTAAGCTACTCCACATATTGCCAATTGATTTTATGCTGGAATCTTAAAAGTTACCCATTATCATTTTCCATTTTTTCCTAGAAACCTGTTTTCATTGCTTCGCTAAACTAGTGTTGTGCTAATGTAAAGTTATAACTTAAAAAAATTTTCATGGCAGGATGAGGGGAAAGCACCGTACTTGTATGTCGAAGTGGATTTTAAGGAGGTAGAAATTTGAATACCTTCCAAATTTTTAGTTCAATGCAACCTATATTTCTAGTTGTTTCTGGGTTCTGAGCGGGATTGTTCTTAGGTATTTTGTCTAGAAACTCATGCATGTATAGTGTCTGTTTTGACTAAATTTATATCTAATTGCAAAATGAAAAGAGAAAATCATTTATATATATTTTTAAATTGTAAGTTTTTACCTGTCACTATTGTATTTGTAATCAAGGTAACTAGTAAAAAGGCAGCTCTTATTGAGACTTACAGTCAATTGAGGAATAAACTTGGTGAAACAGCAACCATATCAAGAGGTAAGCAATGCTGAATATGATACTTTATATGGAAGGAACAACTTTGATTATTTTTATTCTCTTATTATGGTGTTGTCTCTTCTTGGTAGCACATGGTGCTCAAGTGCCAATATAAAGTAAGAGCTATAAAATTCACACCCATTAAATTTTTGAACCCTAGACATTTTTAATCCATGTGCTACCGTAACCATTTCCTCTCACCAAGTCTCTAGACAAACAAATGAAAGGAAATTGCATATTATGATATTGAGAGGGATGGTGATACTTTAGGGGATCGTTTAGTTTCTTAAAGAGGGAATGAGATATTTTAAATTCCAAAAGCATTTTTTTAATGATCGTTCATTATAATTGAAAATGCCAACATCAATTATCTACAAGAAAATTGATAGGAACTTGGGTATTAAAGGGTGTGTAAGTCACACATTGAGTAGTATGGGATGTTCAGTGGAGGATTTAAGTGATTGGTTTTCCTAATAGCTAGCTTTTGAGGGTAGGTTCTCCAAGTGCTTGGGTACTTCACTCAACTCTTCATTGGTCAAAACATTCCATTACTAGCTTCAATACCAATTGATAAGTACCAAAACATTTGGGGAACCCACCCTCAAAAGCTAGCCAATTAGGGGGGAGAACCAAGTATTTAAATACTTGACCGAGCCATCCCGTACTCCATACTACTTGATGTGGGACTTAGACACTAGATAAAGAGTAAGCTAAAGAAAGTAAAGTCTATGGCCCTTCAAATCTCTATTGCTTTGTTTGGATGAGAGGATGGGAATTCAGGGAGTGAAAAAGAAAAGAAAGTAAGAGAAAGAGAGTGAAAAATGAGGTTGTTTAGATTAGGGGATAGAACGTGGAAATGAGTAGAAATTGAGATCGTTTTATTTATTATTTTAATATTAATTATTTATTATTATTATAATAATAAAAATGAAACAAATATTAATAAATTTGTTTAGACATGATCGATTATGTTATGCTCTTTTGCAAATCTCTTCATACGAACAAGGAAAAGAAAAATGACTCTTTCGCTCCTTGATGTTTGCCCATTTTGTGTCTTGAAATTTGTAAATTTCTCTGGCTGTCTATCTTTCTGTGGTTGGAAGCAAACAAGTTGTATATTAAAATTGCAGCAAAAAATTCACGGATGAACTAAAAGTTCTATTTCAGTAGGTTTAGAGGAACTTTGATCCAGCCACCAAGCTTACTCTTAGATCTACAAAGTACAAATCATATCTAACAATTGTCTTGTAGATTTTTAAAATATAATCAGTATAATCTTTTCATTTTGATTTTTGGTAACATCAATGCTTAGTTAAACTTCATAATTACTTCTAATCAAAGCTGATGGTTGTACGTCTCATTCTCTGCCAGATAAAGGAGAAGTGGTCAGTGCTCAATATAAACTAGTCCCTGCAGATCTGCGTGATGTACAACAATTAAATGATATTATATCTGTTGCGGCTATGGATCCAAGGTATGTGCTGGGAGTCGTCTCTATTTCTACCTTTGTCTGTCTCGTGTACAGTTGTGAAATTCTGTTCCTACTCCAATATAATTGATAATTGTTTAAAGGTATCAGCTCCTTATTTGAAAAGAATAGAAAAGTTCTTAGAATCTGAAAGTTTTAAATAAAAATGGGTTATAAAGACTGTTGTGCTGATATCTGTCCTGCTACTTTTTTCTTTTTCTTCTCTAATGACTTTTGTCTCTAATAATTTTTATGAAAGACAATACTTCTGAATTTAGTTATTGGAAAACAATATTGTATTTCATCATACAACTTTGAGATATTTCTAAATGCCTTTGCCATCGACATCAATGATAGTTTGTCAGCATTGGCCAGCATCTCCAGGTGAAGTGATAACCCGATGAAACCAAGTTTAGCCGTAGAAATTCTTAATTTTTACTTTCTTTTTATAGTTTTGTGCTTCTACTTGTAAGTTAAATGTAGTTGTTCTTTGTTTATGCCGGGGGATTTGATACTAATTTGGTAGTTTATTGTTGGTTTCTTTAGCTAAGTTACATATTTGTGTTTGTGTTTGTGTGTGTATTTTAGTTTGATAGTTATTTTAGTTAATACTCACATTTTTCATGACCAAGGAATGATAAATTGATTCATTCTGTTATTGTTATCAGTCTGCCAACTTTTATAATTTCAGAATGTGTTCTGATCTACTTGGATCCAGATTCTACTCGAACAATTGTTGGTTGGGCTTCAAAAACGTTTTCTACAGCAATATTTTTTCTTTATGAGCAGGTAAAACAGCCTTCTTAATTTTATATCTATTTACGACGACTACTTTCATGGGAATGAAGTAGGATCTTTTTTGCATTGTATTAACAGATCCTCCCTGATGATGCTTTTGGGCAGCAGATGATAAGAAATTTGGAGGTATGGAATTCAAATGTGGAATTTCATTTCCCTATCTAACAAATACATATATGCTTTGCACTTTTTTTCCTCTCCAATTTCCGTTATGCTATTTTTGTATTTGTAAAGGTGCAGTTGATGGTAGCAAGCTAGAAAGTCTTTCCTTACATTTTAGAGGCTTTTTTTTTTTTCCTAAAAATATTTCTAAAATTTGTAGATACAAAACTTGCATGATTCGTATCATTCAATATCCTGCATACTTTTCCTTTGAAGTAAAAATATTGTTTGTTATTTTTTCTGGAACAAATCAATACATAGATAATATATATTTACCTTTGTCCATTTTGTTTTTTCTTTTATAGTAAATTTTTATTTGTCAAAATATTTATATTTATCAAAATTACATCTTAAAGTTAATAAATCATATTGGATACACTGGTAATTTGATTTTACATATATATCCTAATGAGTTATGTTTGAATTTGAAAATGAAAACAGATATATAATTTTAGAATATTTATTTTGAGATATAGGAAAATAAAGTATTGAAAAAACCTGTGATGAAACTTAGATAAATGAAAAAGTAGTTGTCGTATATTAGTAATTTATGTTTATATGATGTGAGTATGGGTGAGTTGCGCGGTTATTGAACTTTAGGATTAACCCATAACCTTTTTCGGTGGGAACCATGAGTTAACTTGTGCGTAGACTTAGCATTGAGCAAATCGGTGGACTTGCTCCAGCATTGAGCAAATCGGTGGACTTGCTCCAAACTCTCGAGTTTGACGTGAATGAACAAGTGTGGATGAAACACCAAAAACGACACTTTCAAATCTACCCATTTCTATAAACTTTTAAAAAATATACCAGACGCAGGAGTCCTATGGGGATGAGCTTTATCTGCAATGTTTGAGATTTAAGTACTTAAGAATATTTGTGAGAAGGGACGGCCTTTGAACATGGAGTGAGGCTTAGTCATCTTACCCAAAACAGGATAGGTAAAAACCCATGTCTGCCCCTATTTTTTATAGTTTTGTTAACCCAATATTTTGGGGTATTTCATGATTTTTTTCATCTAAAACCCTAGGATTTCTGTTTGATGCAAAACAGTGACTTTTCTTATGTAAAATCTACCGCTTTAGTCGCTGCCCAGTGATGTAGTGAAGGTCTCTGCACTTACTTTGGTCAATTAAGGCTTCGCAGCTTGATCTTTAATCCTTAGTTTCTGTTGACAAATCATTACATGTTCCTAATTAGTCCTCTATCCTCAGCCCACCTTACAGTTCATAATATCTTAGTTTTGATCAAATGTATTTTTTCTTTTCCCTCTGCAATCTTCCTTTTATGGACTTCTTTCCCATGTTTTTCCTATTTTTAGTTAAAAGCGTATTTGTTTTACTTGAAAAAACTTATTTAGGGTTTAATACAGTGACCAAATGCACTGATACATTGTATTTATAAAAAAAGGGGTACAATAAAGAAGATGTGGGCCTCAGCCCAAATCCTTAACTCTAGTCTAAGGAACATTAAAAAAGAATACTAAAAGATACATAAACAACATATATTATACCATGTTAAGGTTCCAACATAAAACCAATTGGCAATATGTGGAGTAGCCTAACATGTATTTAAACCATACCAAATGACATAAAACAGGCGATGTAGGACTTCTAACACGCTCCCTCCAACGAAGTTTGTCGGACCAGGTAAAGGGTACTTTTGACCCACAACGAAAGGGCAACTCTTGGCCCAAGACAATAACCGGAAAGATGTTAGGCTTTGACTCTGGTATCAACTTGAGAAAACTTATTTAGGGCTTGATTCAGTAACCAAATGCACTAATATATTGTATTTATAGAAAAAGGGGTACAATAGAGAAGATATGGGTCTCAGCCCAAATCCTTAACCCTAGTCTAAGGAACATTGAAAAAGAATACTAAAAGATACATAAACAACTGATCTCAACAGTTTTAGTTAAAAACATTTTTTTTTAATTAAAAACATATTTGATGTGCTTAAAACTATAATTATTAAATAAAATATATCTTTGATTTGTATAAAACTGTAATATGATTTGTCTTTCCTGTTTTGAATCAGTCTCGAGGTTGTGCTCTGTTAGGTATTTATGACACACCAACTTTACATGCGAAGGAACAATTATTTCTGGACCAAGGATGGCAGGTATATTTGTAACTTTTGCTAGAAAATATATATTTGGTGTTTCTTTCTTGTATTTGTGATGTTTCTGTTAGATGATTTGATTTGCATTTGTGGAAAACCTTCCAAATGATAATAAGGGAGTTATTTAGGCATGAATAGCCTGAGACACATTAGACTAACTTAGAAACAGTTATCAATATGCATCTCTTCTCTTCAAAATAGGATGGGAAATTCTCATTTAGGGATCATTGATATAAAATATCATTGTATCTATTAATTACCTTAATTATCATTTTTATCTTAATTGAGGGTAGTTATGGGTGAAAATTCTCATTCAGGGACAATGTATGCACTAGGAGTAGTTCTACCTGTACTAAGAAAATTCTAGTAATTAAAGAATGTAGACGATCAGAGAATTTAGAAAGAGAATAATATGAATGATTTCATTGCCACTGATTTGTGTTTACAGAAAGGTATTTTTATAGTGTACATAGGTAGAGCCCTGGCTCTAACAGACTAACGGTTGTTGCAATTGCAACTACTCAACAGCTGTTGCACTAACTCAACAACTGTCATAACTAACTAAGGAGTTGCTCTAAGCTACTTGCTGGTGTATGCTACTTACAGTAAGACCTATACAACTATCAAATCAGTGTAAACATATATTTTTTGCACTTCTATTTGATAATATCTTCCCCAAATTCAACTTTTCTCCCTACAAGATTGTGATATGATTGGGGAGCGGGAGTATAGACTGCAGTGCAGAAAAATCGGCGTAGCAGATATTTGATCCCGGGATCAAGTAGCTCCTAGAGGGAGTTTGTGCCACTTTGCTACCGTTTCTATACTCTGTCATATTTGAAGTACATTTTTGGAATTCTTACTGTTATACGAAATTTCACTTTTCCCCATTTCAAATCATAACATTGATGTTAATGTTTCATTTTTATGAAACATGATGTAGTGTTAATGTGTATTTATTGTACATCACTAACATTAACATTCTTATACTGTTTGTTTTTGTGTGGGTATCAGAAATCTGTTGCATGGGATATGCTGAGAGTTTACAATGATTTTATTGATGCTCAAGAGAGACGCAGGTACTTTGTTGAACAGAACCTGGGAATTTGTGTTTAGATTTACAAAATCTAATGTGTAAAGTTACATGGATTGTATGATGCTATCGGGCTCAGTTGTCAGTTATAATGTGATGCTAAATAAAATACATTCACACTGGTACTAGTTATAGACTATCAATCCTCGTAAATCAAATAATGAAATAAATCTGGAAATATAATGAAATATAGAATTTGACTTATAAAGTTCATCTAAGATACACAAATATTCTAATACAATACTGACATAGTTAGATATTTCCTGTATATTCTAATACATTTATTTTGGTATTTTACTGTTATTTGGCTATTATTTTTCCAATTTTCATCAATTTGTATTTTTTTTTCTCTTCTGCTTTAATCGACAGATATCAATGGGTCCATGAATTGGGGATTTAATCAATTTAATGCTCAGTCCAGTTTCAAATACATTATAGATATAAAAACTCTGGAGTATATGGTTGGTGGGAATAATGAAGTGGGAGAAGTGAAAATCATTAGTGGATTTAGACAAATAGCTTTCCTTTGAGAAATCTCACTCTGATTTACTAATTTTAATCTATATATTAAACACGCTCTTTAAAATTGTAAATAATTACAAATAAAAACCATTAAATAGTATAGAATTATACATTTAAAATACATCATCTGCATACTTGAACAAATATCTTAATTCTATTTATGTGAAAGTCATGCTGTTCAAACATAATGGAAGATGGAAATTAACCAAATTTCATGATGTGGAAATGGTGGTTGTCTTCCATTAGCTTTTCTTGACTAGCATCTGCAGTAGTTACTTTTTCTTGATAATTCCATTTCTTGGCTTCTTTTTTATGGAGTCCCTTTGCCTGGTTTTTTTATTCCTATTAAGATTTTAACCCTATATGTTTTACCAATATCAAATGATGGTTTAATGATGGAACTATTTGATTTCTATCATAGACTAAAGTATATATCTAAATACAAAAGACATATCTTCCCCGATTCTCCATACATCTTGTGCTCTCTTTTTTTTTCACTCTAGTTGGTAGCCTGTTGCTTTTGTAAATTATGTCAAAATAAACTAATATTTTTACGCTTTACTTTAGGATTGAACGGCTAGAATTGTTTGATGAATTTGAAGAGTGGTACATGATGCAGGTGAGTCCATTTTTATATTGTTAGATGCTATGAAAACTGTCTTATAAATTCTACTGGGTCTCTGAAGGATGGGCCTAGACCAGAGTTGATTGCTCTATCGTGTGAAATGGGTGTGAGTTGCTGCTGTCCTCGTTTCTTATATTTAGGAATCAATGGTCAAAGTAGAAATATAAAATGAAATTTATGCTGTAATCACTAGCCCAGTTTAATGCAAGCAATCGGTGTCATGACCCACAATTAAAACATGCTTCGTTATCAAAACTGAAGGGTTCCTCTTTTATTTCTTCCAATTCTACTATCTGAATTTTCTTTCTGTATTATTGAATTTCAGGAGCACTACTGTGTGGCTTATGCAATCAATGATGGCATGGTATGATATTGATCATTTTTGTTCGGTCATATGTACCATATTGTTGGAGTTATCTTAATATACAGTATGAGAAAATAAGAATTCAAGATATAACAAATCGTTTAAATCAATCCGCTAATTAATTGACAAGTGGATACTTTTTCGTAACTTTTTGCCTCGATTGAAGTTGGAGACCTTATTTTTAGCTTAGCATATTCTGGCTATCATAGAATATGACGATGAAATGACAAGGTATCAATGTGGAAAAAGTTTATTTTTTTCTTCTTATTTATTTGGGGCCTAACAAAATATAATATGATGTGATGAGTGAGTGTAAATCATTGCATTTCTCCTATTTCTTGATGTATTATGGAAGTTCTGAGAGACAATAGTGGATAAACATTTATGGTCTGGTTTTCTCCCATGATTCAGGGTCTTTTCGGGGATTTTGGTTTCGTTAATGACAAGTCTGAGCTTCCTTCATGACGAGACAAGAGGATACACTCCCCATGGCATATATTTATATTATTTTTCTCTAGCTGTAAGTTTTGTAACTGTTGGGGGATTTATGGCAAAAAAGTTTATCGGAAACTTGTTATATATTGTAACAGAATTTAGCCAAATGATTATACCTATTGTTCTCTTATTTTAATAATTGATTGTAGATTTTTTAGAGGTTATGTCGATAATGACTATAGATATAATCAATTAGTCGAAAACATATTTTATGTTTAATTATAATAAGTAAAAAGTTGGTTTAAAATTAAAATATTTAAACAAGATGTTTATTTGATTTAATTCATTAATTATAGACTACCACAAAACGTCAATTCAATATATACGTTAAGAATTATCAAAAGAAGCATAACGAGTAGAGAAGAATATGTCTTCATTGAAAGTCAAAGATAACTTATTAGTTATAGTTATAAAACTATGCTATTTTTATTAAGAAATTCAAAATTTTAAATGCATTAAACATTATTTAATGTGCCATGATGACATTCTCTATTTTTATTCAATTATATATATCTTGAAGACAATCTTAATATCTTGCAAATGCTAGCTTTCAAAAGTTTCTTATATAAACATAAGAAAATTTTACGAATTCTATGTGAAATCAAGCAATGATAAAGTTGTATTAAATTCTCTTTGATTGTTAACTGACCCGAGTTTATTTATTTTGTGTCTATTTAATATGCTTCAATGTAGAATAAGTGTAACTTTCACTTTCTTTATGGAGAAATTATTCATAGGTGCTGGTTACATTGATTGTCCTAAAGAAGTTATGATCATGCTTCAAGTTTACCTTATCAACCTTAGATAATAAACTGCTGCAAGTTATATATGTATAATTTTTTTATTATTATTATAGTTATATATATATATATATATATATATATATATATATATATATATATATATAGAAAACGAGTGAAGCAGTATTTTATTTTCATTTATAAATTTCTAATAATAATAAATTTTTTAAAAGGTTTCTGAAAATGTAATTCATGAATATTATTTGTTTAAATTTTAAAAAGAAATATTTGAAGTGAGTAATAATATTAATCCATAGACTTAAATGACATTAAATAATGAATCAACTAAAAGATATTTTTTAGTGCAAACCACATGTCGACTTTTGGAGTAATAGGACACTTTTTTTTTCTTGGTACAATAACTACATGCTTTGTATAATTTATTTTGAGAATTTTTGAAGAGTAAATACTAAATTTGGTTCTGAAAAAAAAAAATTCGACAAACAATTTGGTTTTTGAAGTAGAAGTTACCAATTTTGTTTTTGCTTATTGTAATTCCCACTATATTATAAACATGGCATAATCTACCCCTTAAGTAATTTGATGATTTAGATAAATTTTAACCTGAATTATTATCGAAGAGTAAGAAAAAAAAATACTAATCCGTGGACTAGAAATAAGGGTGTTTCAGTTTAGTGATTGTTATGATAACATAGGTTCATCATCACGTTCAACATATTGTCGGATTTAAAATTTTAATTCAATGCATTTTATCCTTAAAAAAATAATTTGGTAAGTTTGAGAGGATTGTATATAAGTTCTCTCATCTTAGATAAAAGTTATGGTGGTATAATATTTGTTTATGGTGGAATTTTAATTAATTTTGATTCTTAAGAGGCTTTGATTCTAACCAAAACTCAACCACATAGATTCTTTATACTTAGGCTAACAACTGAATTTCAATTGAAATGCGTATGAGAATCGAAAATACCACTATAGAAAATACTAAGATTAATAATCGAAAGCACTATTTTTTGGTATTTTGTCTTTAAAGCACTCGAAATAAGGAAAACAGTAAAATGTCAAATCGAAAAGTAGTACAGAATATAAAGCAATATTAAATTGCAGAAAATGTAAAGTGCAGAAACCTCAAAATTGCATTAAATGTAAATGGCAAGGAATCGAAAATTGCAGGATTGTAAATAAACAAAAATCTAACTTTGCAGAAAAATAGACAACAGGAAATCGAAATTGCAAGAAAAAGAATAACAGGAAATCGAAATTGCACAAACGGTAAATGACAAGTAATCGAAATCTCGGAAATGTAAATAGCAGGAAAATCAAAATTGCGTTAATATAAATGACAAGGAACTTAAACGCAGAAACTTAACTTTCATTAAAGGGAAATGACAAGGAATCGAAAATACAGAAACTTAAAGTTGCTAAACATAATCCGCATCAAAGTAAATTACCAGGGAAAATAAAGAAAGCGGTAAAGGAAATCAATGAACATGGAAATCCAGATCGTCAGAAACTTCATGATGTTCGTCGTTCTCCAGTAGACTTCTCACTAGTATTCCTACTCTCTGCCAATTTTCCACGTCCCCCTCTCCTTCATCCTCCACTCTATTTATAGGGCATCCTTTCAGCAAGTAACCTCTTAGGAGCAGTTAACGAAAACTGCTACCACGTCTTACGTGCACGTTGCAGTTTCTTCTTCGGTATTAAAACTGCACCCACGTTCCCATGATCTTCGACCTCTGCCACGGTTTAGAAACTGTTTCCTATATGCGTGTTTAACTGTTCCTCTCTTTATGACCTAGCCGGGATTTCGATATCCACGCAGGTTAGCCTTCCTCTTGATTTTGATCTCTTGATCTCGAGAACTTTGACTTGCCTTTGCTTTCCCTTATCCTTAACATTACATAATTCTGATTTCTCGATTTCATTCACTAACGAATATTAAACATTCTTCCTTTGATTCTCGATTCTAATTCTCGCTTATATTGTCATATGGTCGTCGAACGTGTTTTCCAACTATCTTTCGATTTATCAGTCTTTAATTCAATCAAAATGGTTCTCGATTTTTGCTCCCATTTGTTTCTCGATCCCTTTATCGATTTCCCACTAACAAAATGCCCCATTGGAAGAATATAAATAGTTTCTGTTTATATTCTTTCAACATGATTCCCGCCTTCGCGTGTTGGGGGCCCACAATAACTTAGGTTTTAGGGTTTCTGGGGTTTTTCAGGGTTTTAGGGTTTCTAGGGTTTTTCAGGGTTTTAAGTTTCTTTCTGCTTTATGTCACCATCATATCAGTCTGTTGTCTTACTGTACACGCCACATTAATTGCCCTTCGCTCCTTTAAACACTTTGTTGGTCTTTTACCCTGGTTTTTACGCGAACTTTTACTCCTCCTTTGCAACTTCATCTTCTACCTTGCGCCTTTGTCCTCAACCTTGCACCCTCACCTTCTATCCTCTGTTTTCCTCTACTCTCCTGAAATGACAACCTCTTCCAAATCTTCTTATTTTTCAGCCCCACCACTTCCCTCGTTGGCCTCTAACCTGCTGGAGATTAACAACAAGAAATTTGCTCCGGTTCCTCTAATGGAGGAAGCTTCTCAGAAGGTCGCTGAGACGCAGGTACTCATCCCTTACATTGTTGATGATGTAAATTTTGCTTTTGGGGGTCCTATCCGATCTTGTGGTGGATCTTTTTCTTCCTTCAATCTTTCTTCAAAGAGTCAGGCTCTTATTCATCAATCTGAGGTTCGAACTGACTTTCTGAATGCTGTATCTAAAGTATACCGAACGGGCCCCCCCTCCAAAAAACCCTTGTACATTAGGTGGTTTGATAGGGTTAAGACTAAGTTTGGGAACCATTGGAGAGATGTGGGGATTTTCGATTTTTTGCATTTGTCTCGATGCGATTTGTCATTTTTGGATATGGCTATGTTTTTGTCTGCTGTACATTTGTGGAATAAGGACCTGCATGCGTTAGAACTCCCTTGTGGTCCCCTTTCGCCCACCCTTTTCGAAGTCGCTGCACTTACTGGTTTGAAGCCCATAGGGGAGAAGTATTATAAGGGTGCTTTTCCTTCAGATAATTCCCTAAGGTCCAAAATCGATTGGGAATCGAAAGCCTATGGTCACTTTCTCGAGAAGCATTTTATCGATGATCCAACAGTTTCTGTTTCTGATGAGGAGCACGTTGCCTTCTTGGTATACTGGTTGTGCACTCACGTTTTCTGCCCCCCATCCATCCAAATTTCATCCCACCTGTATAACCTTGCCTATCTCCTTCACACCGGCCAGCCTCGAATTTGTTTAGCCAAATTTTTGTTAGCCCATGTATATACTGCTTTCGATGAGGCCGTCGAGATTTTGAATACCCCCAGAGCTTCGGGAAATTTTTCAGGCCCCATTTGGTTTATCCAATTATGGCTAAATTCGATTTTTGAGAGTATCCTCCCCCCAACCTCCAACATCCCCCCAAGTGAAAATTTAGAGGGTGCTCGATTATCTTCTCGACATCCTCATTACAAACCCGACGAGGTGCCTTACCGTAAATACCTTAGATTTTTGTTAACTCGGTTTCATTTTGATTCGACTTTGGCTCCTTTTACTGTGAATCTTGGACGAATAAGCGACCAACTTCAAGGACCATCTTGGTTTAAGTCCAAATTCCCTGCCTTAACTCCTGGGTTACAATTAGAGCTGGTCGACGTGTGGAGTAATTATTTGACTCAGGATGTATTAGTATCGGGTTTTCACTCCAAGGATTTCAAGCTTGTCACCTATTACCCCCAACTTTTTTCGAGGCAGTTTGGTTTGAGTCAAGCCTTACCTTTTTTCCCCCTCGATACCTCCCCAAGGTCCAAGTTAAGTGAATCGACAATTGGACGGGAGCTCACCAAACTGCTACCAAAAACCCCGATGCATTTTTATCCTTATGTTTTTTAATCTAATTATTTATCAACTCTGGGTTTCTCTCAATGGTGGGCCGATTGGTTCTCGAGTAATCATTCTGATTTTGATGAAGTCCAACGAAAATTGACTGTTCATCCTTCTCTTGTGTTGCAGGACAAATCAAAGGCGAAGAAAGGTACACACTCCCACTATCTTCAAATATCTCGATTCGAGAATTTTTATCGAGTTTGTTACAACCCTTTGAAATTTGAATCGACCTTTTATGACGTTGTTATTTCCTTAGCCAATAAGACAGACA